TAACCCTAACATCATGCTGCTCACCAGGCTGCTTAGCTAAAACACTGCCCCCATAACCCTAACCCCTAACCCCCTAACCCTAACCTTTAACCCCCAATCCTAACCCTAAAATCCTGACCCTAACATCATGCTGCCCACCAGGCTGCTTAGCTAAAACACTGCCCCCCTAACCCTAACCTCTAACCCCCTAACCCTAACCTCTAACCCCCTAACCCTAAAGTCTTAACCCTAACATCATGCTGCTCACCAGGCTGCTTAGCTAAAACACTGGGTGGACAGACACCCGGTTACAGGAACCCCCCCAGGGGAGTCAGGAGGGAGACCCGGTTACAGGAACCCCCCCAGGAGGGAGACCCAGTCTGGGGGACTGACCCTAACCCTAACCTCTAAGCCCCTAACCTGAACCACCTAACCCTAAACTACCTAACCCTTACCCCCAACCCTAACCACCTAATCCTAACCCTAATCTCTAACCCTAATCCCCTAACCCCAAAACCCTAAGGCTGACCTCTAAACCCCTAACCCTGGGGTCTGCTTCCTGAACCCAGACGGGTTCCTCAGGGCGTCATAACTCAACTCAACTCAACTTTATTTATAAAGCGATTTCAGTCAGCCAAAGCTAAAATCAAAGCGCTGTACAGGCCATTTGAGCGAATCATAAAACACAGTTATCACCTCCACACAAGACAAACTCAAAGATTAAAAACAGTAAGAGCAAAAATAAAAAACAAAACCAAGTAAGAGAGGGAAATTAAGACAACTAAAATAAAGTCGAAGTCTCACTCAAAGGCCTGAGAGTAAAAGTGGGTCTTAAAAAGGGTTTTAAAAGAGCTGAGTGTAGGGGCCTGTCTGATAAAAAGGGAAAGCTCGGTCCCCTCTGAGCTTCCGCTTTGCTCTAGGTGCTTTTAGAAGGAGGGACCTAGCGGGACAGTAATTTTGTAGTAGCTCAGAGAGGTATGGTGGAGCTAGGCCATTTATTGTCGTATAAGCAAATAAAAAGATTTTTAAAATGAATTCTAAAATGGACAGGGAGCCAATGAAGTGAGGCCAGGATTGGCGTTACTGTATGTGTTCACATAAAGGATCGTACCGGCCTCCCTGGAGATCTGCATGAAGGCCTCCACGCCGCTCTCCCCGTAGTTTCCCTCGGAGGCCAGCGTGGAGACGTAGTTCCAGCCCATGGCCTTGACGATGTCCAGCATGGCCTGGGCCTGGTAGGAGTCCGGGGGCACCACCCGGGAGAAGAAGTCGTAGCGGTTGTTGTCGCTGAGTTCTGGAGCCGTGGACGCGTAGCTGACCTGAGGGATCTGATACACAGACTCCATCAGAGACCAGCCCAGAGGGTCAGAGGTCAGGGGTCAGGGGACACAACTGGAAACATGCTGACAGCCATAGACATGTATAGATAGGCTCCTCATTTAAGAGGTTGGTCCGTTGGAGTGCGTCGCCATATTGGATGTGGCAGAACTGCCCGTAAACTAATAAAAGGAAACAGACTGAACTCCATGAAGCGCTTTTCAACAATGTGCTTTTAAGTTAATGTTTCTTATTCACCCATTCACACACTAACTTTTAAAGTGATGATTATAAATGGTTACTCCTGATGTTTGGGATATAAGTAAGCAGCAAACCCAGCGTCTGTACTTTTCCAATGCTGAGTGTTTTCAGCTACTAATGCTTGTAACACTGTTACTGTAATATAAATATGGAAATTTAACATGTAATCTGTGTCCATAATAACCACATCCTGAAAGGTAGATGTGGCCCAAACATTTACCTATCCTAAATGTGAATTAATCAATTTTATATTCACATTTAGGATAGATAGATAGATAGATAGATAGATAGATAGATAGATAGATAGATAGATAGATAGATAGATAGATAGATAGATAGATAGATAGATAGATAGATAGATAAGCCTTCCTTTGTGTTTTAGGGTTAGCCTCTGGAGAAGTTTGCCAACAACAAACCCTGAGATTTACACCGGTTCACCGTCTGACCGCTGACTCCGTTTCTCCACTTTGCCACATCCAAGATGGCGGCCACGTTGATGTACGATTCAGCCCTCAATGCGGGTCTACGTATACTGTACATGTCTATGCTGACAGCCACAGCTCTGGTCCCACACACAGAAACACACACACACAGACACACACAAGATTATCGTTGTGTAACTGCTGAATGTGTGTCAGAGCATCAATAAACCTAAGAACAATCACATTAAGTCTCGTGTGTGTCTGTGTGCATGTGGATTTTTGTGTGTGAGTGTGTTTGTGTGTCTGTTTGTGTGCAGATTAATGGACCCTCATAACGAGGGCAGACCTCATTATGAATACCCATCATCATCATCATCATCATCATCATCATCAGAGATGCTTCAATGGAGCAAAACAAATGAGTCCCCCCCCACACACACACACCCAGAGTCAGGTGAAAATGGGAAATGT